TCCTGTCTACACAGGGCGGGGCCCCCCCCGGTCTGCAGCCAGCATGGGCCACCATGAACAGAGGCTGCTTTGGGGCAGCCTCTCCTGCCTTCTCCTCCCCCAGCAACCTCTGTCTGCAGGGAGCTCTGACTCCTCTTAGACAGGGACTGTTGCCATCCCTTATATCTGAGACAGCAGTGTGGGACGGCAGGCAGCCTATCCACGAGGGGAGCTGGTTTTCAAACTGGTTCCCTCACAGACCGGCTCCCACCTGGCACTCAGTGCTGCTGCTTCTGATAGGGAGGCAGCAGTGTGGAGTGGCAGGGGCTCCTTGGGAGTGGGGCCGGATTTCACTGGCTGCTGGCCCTGCCCCTGGGAACTATCGAATAGTCAACTAACCACTAAGAATTCATGCGTTAGTTGACTATTGAGTTAATCGATAGCTAACACCCCTAATATATGATGGAAACCCCTGCAAGTCGGGTGTGGCAGCACCCCTTGTTCCAGCACCTATGCTTGCATCATCCCCTAATCAAAATTCTGTATATTCACTGTAGCCTCATCCTACAGTGTAGAAAATGATCATTGATGTGGAGCACTATTGTGCTCTGCACTGAAAATGTAAAAGGAAACTGCTCCTTGCCTTGAGATGTTTACAGTCTAGGGAAGGATGTTTGCCATTGGATAGACATCAGTTAATTCAGATCTAAGTAGACTCTCCCTCAGAGATTATTCAGTCATGGTGTTTTCTAGTGATACCAGTCATTTCCTCTGGGAGACAGGAAGTGAGCAGATAAGATAGCATTATAGATATCAAATTCTACTTTGCTTATTTTGTTTAATACAATTTTAGTAGACTTTATATTTTAAGCATTTTTTTTCTAATTTTTATGCACTCACTTAGAATTCTCTGAGCTGCCTTTAAGGAGTGTTTTGCAAAAGACAGGACTGATGTTTCAGGCTTCTCAGCATTAACCTGTCCAGCATGTAGAAACTCTTTTAAAAGTGACTTGAAAATTGTCCAATCCCTAAAGGCAGGAACAAGTGTGGGGTTTGAATGCCCCAAGTGATGGGAATAAGATCTGAAAACAATTATTTCAAAACAATCTCCTCCCATGAGAGGGAATTCAAATTACTGAGTAGTCTTAGAAGTCTTCAGATGATATCAGCACGAAATGATTTGGGGGGCATTGATGAGACCAGATTGGAGAAGGGAAGTAACAATCCCATCTGTTTTTCCACATTTGCAAGACACGTGGCATCTTTAATATTAGGGGTTTTTTTCTTTTTTAAAACCTGAATCTCCAAAAACTGGAGCCTCTCGCAAGACAGTGAGAAGTAAAAGTGAACTGTCAAGAGAAATCCCTTGTGTATTATATATGGAGTCCTATTCCCACCTCTATCTGTCCACAATATTTAACAACAGGATGTTAGAGAGAGGGATTCATTCTGAATGCAATCATCTCTCAATCCCTAAAGCCTCCCACTTAAGGCAAAACAGCATATTAGGCTAACATTTTTCCGTCCTTCTTCCAACCTGTCTCCTAGGATTCATTCTGATGGGGGTGATGCATATTTGTTTTGTTCTGCTAAGATTATTCCTAACTTGTGCTGCTGTGCGTTGATTTCAGATAATGAAGAGCGAGGTGCTGAGAGTTACCCATGAGCTGCAGGCCATGAAGGATAAGATCAAAGAGAACAGTGAGAAGATTAAAGTGAACAAAACCCTGCCTTACCTTGTTTCCAATGTAATTGAGGTGAGTGTTGTGCCCTTTTGAAGTAATGCTAGGAGTGATCCACTGTTGTGTGCACAGCTTTTAACTTTGAGAGGTGCTCTTCCTAACTGTGGGTTGCTGTCAGGGTTCACAGGCTGGAGCAGAGGACTATGTGAAATGAATCTGTGAGAATTGGGACCAGTGACTTTACCTCTTTGTTTTCCAGTTTATAAAATGGGAATAGTTAGCACATGTATAAGGCCTGGTCTATGCACAATTTTTTTATACTGATTTAACTATTTTGATTAGGGGTGTAATTTTTCAACTTAAATATTTAGTGGTACAGCATTCCTAGTGGGTGCAGTTACATCAGTATAAAAGTGCTTTATACTGAGGCCTATTCTAAAAGTTAGGTTAACTGAGTTACATTGCTCAGGGGTGTGAAAAATTTACCTCCCAAGAGAGAGTTAAGCCAACTTAAGCCCTGGTGTAAACACCGTTAGGTCAACAAAAGAATTCTTCTGTTAACTTACCCATCAGCTCTCAGAGAAATAGATGTACTATGCTCACAGCTTATCTTCACTGCCCAGAGATCAAAGCTGAGGCAGTCGATCTTCTAGCATTTTATTTAGCAGGTCTAGTAAAGACACTCTAAATCAAACACTGACTGCACCCGTCAACTGCAGTACCTCTTGCAGTGGTGAGGAGAAAGGAAAGTTGACAGGACTGTGGGGACGGTGCTGAAACATAGCTTAAGGTACATCAGCTCCAGCTATATTATTTATGTAACTGGAGTTGTGTACTTTAAGCTGACCATTATCTCCTTAAGCACTACAGTGGCACACCTGCAGCTAGCCTGCTGTCATGTCTCTAGTGTAGACAGACATACCCTGATATACCTAATTCCTTCTCTTACGAAAAATAAGCTGTCATTACTCATGGGAGAATTCTGTGCAGACTTTTGTGGAAATTAAAGCATGAACTTACTGGTTACCATAACGGTTACATGCGAGCTCCTGGCCCTGCTCTTTGGAAACCAGCTGCCACCCTGCACTGTTGGCTCTGTATCTCTGTCAGCCAGCTCTCTGAGTGTGAGGCTGGGAGCCAGGAATGGGGCCCAGAGCTGGTTGTGCTGTGAGTTCTGCAGTATACTGCAGAGCCTGCAGTGTGTGACTAAGACTTTTTCATGGTTACTTTATTAACTGCTTTTTAACATCCCTAGAAGAAAGGAGAAGGTGGCATGGAAACTCCATGCAAGCCTAAGCATCATGTGGTTTCTCCCATTGGATCTCTGGGCTCTGGGGAAGAAATGGGACAGGTGTCTGGGCAAGCTGGGCTTTGGGCCAAGAAGGGGAACGGGGCCCTGAAGCTGGACTTTGGGCATAATTTTCTTTTCCAATAACTCTGCTAATTTGTATCTGTCTTTCTCAGTGTTTCATTGTTTCAACCACTTTACATGATACTGGCATTGGTTTATGATGTTGGAAGAGGGAGGGTGCCTAGCACCACCAGCCACCACCCCCATTCCTCAGAAATTTGCAGTTGCCTATCACTATGACAGGGAGCTCAGGTAATCAGGAAGCTATAAATTCTCCCAGGAGATGTAACTACAGGCAGTATCCTACTGTTGGTGGATGTGGGTAGATAGTGAGATGTGTTAACTTCCACTGCTTTGTGATTTTTGAACTAGAAATACAATATTGGAAGTCTTGATGTGATCCAAGGGTTGAATGGTTACAGTGGTTTGATTCTGCTTCAAATGATTTTTTTTCTGGTCTTCAGCTACTGGATGTTGACCCCAATGACCAGGAAGAGGATGGAGCAAATATTGATCTGGATTCCCAGAGAAAGGGCAAGTGTGCTGTGATTAAAACCTCCACACGGCAGGTGAGAGCCATGAGCCTATGTAGGTGTGGGGAGTGCTGATCCAACACCGTTTAGTTGCTGTGTTTATGTTGGTTTCTTTTCCTCATAGACCTATTTCCTGCCTGTGATCGGGTTAGTTGATGCTGAGAAGCTGAAGCCTGGAGACTTAGTGGTAAGTAGTTTCAGTATAACTGGTATATATTGATCATATGGTGTTAGCCAGGGAATCTGGTATTTGACTGGTTTAGTTTTTCATGAGGAAATGATCTAATCAGATTTTTTTTTCTAAGGCCTTGTTTGGGGAAGGATTTACTGGTGAAATATTAGCATCTGATAGCTAATACATTTAGAAGTTTAGTATTAGACAAGGCACACTGGGACAGATTTACCAAGGCATGTAGGTGCCAAAGAATGCAGTTAGATCCCTAATTCCCATTTATATCATCAGAATACTTAATAAATCTGGCCTTCCTTTCCTTGAACATGTGCTAAGATGGCCTAGACTCCCTACTAGTCTTTAATTCATCCAGCTCGTAAGAAGCTGCCATGTCATAGAACTGTATCATATTGTTTTTGCCAAGTCCTGACCCAATAGTTCACCTTCCTTAGCTGTCACTTGAAAAGGCCTTTATCAAGAACTTTCCAGTCTAAGATATTACCTTTGTGTTTGCAGGGTGTGAACAAAGACTCTTACTTGATCCTGGAGACTCTCCCTACTGAATATGATTCACGAGTGAAAGCTATGGAGGTGGATGAGAGGCCCACAGAGCAGTACAGTGACATCGGGGGCCTGGATAAACAGATCCAAGAGGTGACAAATGGAGGAAGGGAGCGCTTGTGGTTAGTAAGGGAATCCCACTTTGTTTCTTGATCCTCCAGACTTTCTGTGTGACCTTTGGCAAGACACTTATTTTCTCTGTGCCTCCAATCCCATATGTATAGTCAGGATAATAGTGCTTCCTTTCCTTGTATGAATATTGTGGATAAATACATTGAAGACTGACACACACTCAGATACTTTTATGGCCCCTATTACTCACAGTATCTTAAGAGTCCAGTCCGTGAATACCCTATGGGTAGATTTTTTGCCCTGTATTTGAGTTTGGAATTGAGGCAGTCTGGTTCCATGGTGTGGAAGGTTAGGGGATTTTACATAAAGGCTAGAATAGCTGCAAGGGTAAGGCCTCTGAGGGAGAGGTTAATGTTGGTGGTTTTTTTGTTTTGTTTTGTTTTGTTTTTGTCCATGCAGCTGGTGGAGGCCATTGTCCTACCAATGAATCATAAGGAGAAGTTTGAAAACCTGGGTATCCAGCCCCCGAAAGGTGTGCTCATGTATGGGCCACCTGGAACAGGGAAGACCCTGCTAGCAAGAGCATGTGCTGCCCAGACAAAGGTAAGAGGGATTTAATGCACAAACCGGTCCATCTGTGTAACAGAATCCTCATAGGGCAGAGGTTCCCAGACTTTTCTTATGTGTACCCCCTTCCAGATTTACCAGTGTACCCTGCCCCTTCTAAGCACTGATACTTTGTGGTCTTCCTAAACCGTCTGCCGCCATCAGTCAATATTTCACCACTAGCCAATTTAGCCCATCATAAGACAGGATTTTCAGGTCTCTCCTCCATGTCGGTCTTCTCTCCTGAGCCTCTGGTCTGTCTCCTCCTCCTCCTCCCTCCGCCTCTCTCTAAGTTCTCCTCCACCTTCTGCCTCTTTCTCTTCTCCCCCTCCTGACTCTCACTCTCTCTCTGCTCTCCTCTGTCTCCATCAGGGATGCATGCTCGTCCAGAACCTGCCCCCCTGGGCATTTACATCACTGCCCCACCCTCCTTCGCCTCCCACCGTGGCGCTCCGCTGACTTCTGCACCGCTCAGCCAGGCCGCCGCGCGGGATCAAGCAGCACAAATGGCCTGCCTCTCTCTCAGCTCTCGTCTGCCTCCTGCCTGTCTCTCTGTCTTTCTCTTCTCCCCCTCCCATTTCTCTTCTCCTCCTCCTGCTGCATCACTTTCACTCTCTCTTGCTGCCCTCTGTCTCCTCTGCTTTCCTCCTTTTGAATCTGGCACCCTTTCCTGACATCAGAGATGCACACTCGTCCAGGCCCCGACCCCTGGATGTTCCCTCTGGGCGGCGCTGTTGCCTCCCACCATGGCGCTCGGCTGATTTCTGTGCCACTCAGCCGGGCCGCTGCACAGGAGCAAGCGGCCATTTGGTACCCGTGCTCCCCATGCAGCACGGGGAGCGCAGACCCCAAACAGCCGCTTGCACCCGCGCAGCGGACCGGCTGAGCAGCGCAGAAGTCAACCGAGTGCCACGGCGGGAGGCAACAGTACCGCCCAGAGGGAACAGCCAGCGTTTCAGCGTCACAGACATTGGGTTACTATATATATGATTAGATACAGGTATAGTGTGACACGGTATCAGAAAAAAACCTGGCTCACATTTTGAATTCCGTTAGACTGGATAGTTACTATGCAACTGAACTCATGCTGTATGGTGATTGGAGCTCAGAGCTCTGGATGTCTGCAACTCTATATATCTGTGTTATCATTGGTACATCTCGAAACTAACAAATTCCTACAGTTTTAAATCTTCATCTGAGTAGGTTATGAAAATGTAAAAGTAAAATCCACCATTACACAATTTCTCTTGTGTAACCCCCCTCCCCTCCACAGAGATGCCTCATACCCTAGGGTAGGGGGGCCCAAACCATGGTAAGGCATGATAGAGTGCAGTCTGTGTCATAAAGGGAGCAGAGAGTTGGTGTAGTGTGGATGAAGGAACTGTGTGTGACTGACTTTTTCTTCTCTCTCCTCCAGGCAACATTCCTGAAGTTGGCAGGCCCACAGTTAGTGCAGATGTTCATTGGAGATGGAGCCAAGCTAGTTCGAGATGCCTTTGCACTGGCCAAGGAGAAAGCTCCTTCTATCATCTTCATTGATGAGCTGGATGCTATTGGCACCAAGAGGTGAGATCTGCAGGCCATGCTGTGTAAAGAACTGGAGTGAACTCCCAGAATCATGGGGTGGGGGGGGACTTCAAGGTGGGACTCTATCTAGGTGCAGTTAACCCCATCCACTACACTGGGCTATTTCAAAGGCATACTTGTTTCCTGTATTAATAACTTGGCCCTTCTTTCCAGCTCAGTTTGTTGCCCAGCTTATTGGGACTGGGCAGTGAGAGCCACAAGGATATGGATCCTTTTTATTACCAGTAAATAGTGATTCTACTTCAATGCATGTCAGGATTGCCAGCCCTCTTGATAGGCACTTACTAATGCTTTTTACCTACCGCAATATTAACCCTTTCTGACTTGAATACAAATGATTTGTGCCCTGGCATAACTGACACATGATGCCCTTGTACATTTTGGAAGATCAAAACATGAAAGGGAGAGGTGGGATCTGATATTGGGGCACATCTGGAGGAGTTACTGGCATGAGCAGAGTTGATACTTTCCTATATTCTTTCTCCAGATTTGACAGTGAGAAGGCTGGCGACCGGGAAGTACAGAGGACTATGCTGGAACTTCTGAACCAACTTGATGGATTCCAACCCAACACACAAGTCAAGGTAACTCTCACTGCAAGTGGCAATCCCTAATATTATCAAGCACCGCTGGACTTTACAGGGGCACACGGTGAGGACTGAAAGACCTTCATAAGGAAGGTGATCATGAGAACACAAGGGAGCTGGTGGATCCCTGCTAGGTATGGGAGCCTAGAACCAGAGCTGACCTTTCCATAGGATGGTTTTGGGGAGCCCCACAGCAGCTGTGTCAACAGTCCTATTGATAGTACAGTCCCAAATAGCCAAAAGACCCATAGTGGTCCTGGCCTGACATCAGGGTCCTTCCCCACAGTGGTGGGAGCTGCGGGAAGCAGAATGACCCAGCAACCTGTTCCACTCTGCTGCCCATCTCCCAGCCAGGTCACTTCACTTCTGATGCTTGGGGGGGGGAGGAGAGGAGGTTGCCCTGAAGAGTGTCTGCCCTCCAGGAGCTTCAAAATCGATGACCTTGCTTTTCTGTAGGTGATTGCTGCAACCAACCGTGTAGATATCCTGGACCCTGCTCTGCTTCGCTCTGGACGCTTAGACCGCAAGATTGAGTTCCCGATGCCCAATGAGGAGGCCAGAGCTAGGATTATGCAGATCCATTCACGCAAGATGAATGTCAGGTAGGAAAGAGGAGAAGCTTAGCTCCTTGAGGGAGAAGGAGGGTAGTACAGAAAGAGTACTATACATCTTTGTTCCTCATGCAGAGGAGTGGAGGTGTGCTCCCCCCCACCCCCCCCACCCTGTAGAATGAAATGCTATGTGCTTATGAATGCTACACACCTTGGTTTTCAATGGCAGTGTGGGGGTTTTATTGTTTTCTCTTTCAGCCCTGATGTGAATTATGAGGAGTTAGCTCGCTGCACAGATGACTTCAATGGAGCACAGTGCAAAGCTGTGTGTGTGGAAGCAGTGAGTATCAGTTAACAGCCTGTTTCCTACCTCCTCAGCCTCCTACAGCAGATGGAAAGATAGGCGTGGGATGAGGTAATTTGACAGGCTGATCTGGTTCCAAGCCAATGCTTTGTGTCCCTTAACTACGCTTTCTCTTTGTGGTAGGGGATGATTGCACTTCGCCGTGGTGCCACAGAGCTCACTCATGAGGACTACATGGAAGGAATCCTGGAGGTTCAGGCTAAGAAAAAAGCTAATCTGCAATACTATGCCTAACTCTGCTCTGTAGTCAGGTATTGTGGCCTTGACAGAATTGGACAGACTGGAATGTGAGAAGACTGAACTAAACAGAGGATGGTTAAGATTAGACTGTGTGGTCTTCTTGTGTTGGAAAAAAAATTAAGCTTTTCTTCCCTGCCCTCCTTGAAATCTCCCCTTCCCCTCCCCCCCCATGCTTGCCTAGATAAGGTTCATAATGATAAAAGGGTCATTAACTTCTGTGAAGTTGGCTGTACTCAACTGTGGCAGGCTTAAATCCTATGTTTTAGAGCCACTATCTGTGGAGTGGGAGTAAACAAGTTTATAGCAACCCCTTGCCATGCTACTAAAAGGGAACTAAGTTCCTCAGCACATCTACAATTCTTTCACCAGTGCAGGCCAACAGCTAAGAGATATTCCATACCATAAGCCTTATCTCCTTGCTACCAGTTCCACCTGGGATCCTTGCCTTTCAGGTTGACAAAGGATGCAAGGGCCATTGTTACCAATATGGTGGTGATGGTACTGTGGAAAAGAGCTCAACAATCCATCCAGTAAACAAGTTTTTCAGTACTTTAATGCCAGTTGAGACGCACAACCTCCATTTAAAAATGACACTTTATAAATACATTGATTTTTTTTTAGCACTGTTTAACTTACATGCTATTCAGCTGTGTTACAGAAATACTGTAAACATCCCACTGCCTGTGCACTTTAAGCTGGGAGGAGGGGATGGTATGTATGAAAGAAAACTGTACCTGGCTATAGCTTGGCTTGTGTTCCTGAATTAGCCCTAGTGCTGATGTGGGTTGGTTAACAAGCTGCTTACCATCCATTCCTCCAAAAATGGTTCTCTGCTGGTTAAAGGACATGACATCAGTTGAGCTGTGCACAGGTTGTCTTCCACCTTCCAGATGGACAATTGTGAGGACAAAGCTGAACTCATGCTCAATTTCATACATGGTCTCTGTATAGCGTAAAAGCCACGCTTCTTTCTGGTGGACAGATGGCAACAGGCTATTGTGATTAAAGTGTTCCCTCAACAGTAAAAGCTAGTAATTCTTTTCACCAAGAGCTCTTTCTTTGCAAGTAGGCATCACATTCTTCAAGAGAGGGGGTCCTTGAGGGTGAGTCTAGCAGCTGAAACACTTCCACTGTGACAAATGCACCTTGATCCTGTTCTGGAACAGCTCTATAGTGAGTGAAGGTTGCTTGTAGATCATTGATCCTAGCTTTTGCACATATTTGTAACTAGGATCATGTGCATTAGCTAGCAGATGCTACTGCTGCTTAAAGAATGACCAAGTTCAGCTGCTTGAAGAGTAAGGTAGCAAGCAGAGGGACCAACTTCCCCCTTGCCAAAGGAGGAGGGGGCTGGTAGCCACCAGGTAGCCTTCATTCAAGTGAGCCTCACTTTTTGCAGCAGATTAGTCCGTACTGAGGGGAAATGACAAATTGCTGTGTGCTCTAACCATCTGGAGCTCCAAGATGTTCTGGAAAATTGGCGGGCTGGGCCAAGCCATGTTGAAGGACAGTCAGGCTCCTGCACATGCAGTTATATTTTTATAATGAACTAGACTCCTCCACAACTGGACTAGAACACAGGTGCAGTTAGTGTTTCAAATAACACAGGAGATAATCCCTCTTATATAAAAGAGCACATTAGAAGTCAAACCCTGGCTTGGTGTAGAGCCTGCATCGAGTCTGTAGCAGGAGAATCATACAGTGGCATACACCACAGGACTTGGCCAAACAGCTTTAACATTCCTCATTTCTTCCACAGGTATAGCACCATCCCCACAGTGCTGTTAGCCTACAGCTTTACCTAGGCTGTATTTGCTGGAGTGTCTTCTCCTGCACTCTTTGAGGTCACACAGCTCCATTTTCATGTCTGGGTTTCTGTACAGCAGTACGAGAGGCATTGAGCGAGGGGGCCAATGTGCAGAGGAATCCAGCCAGAAGAGTAAGTCCCAGGCCTCCCCAGGCACAGAACATGGACCAGCCATAGCCATGGCTGATATCCTCAGGCAGCCCATAGACATAGCGAGGATAGCGAGACAACTCAAAGTTAATCCCAGCCACACAGGTACAAAGTGAGATGATGCAGCATGTACCTGCAGAAGAAAAGCAAAAAGACTAGGAGGCTTGCAAAGCAATGCAGCTGTACCTACAGTTTGTGTTTTCTGTCCAAGGCAGTGTCAGGCCTCAGCCTCTCTTCAGCAGCTTTTTTTTTTTTTTAAAACAGTAAATCAGAGAAACTAAAAAACCCAAAATGCAGCACATTTAGTTTTCCAGCTGTTCAGATTAGCTTCTCACACCATTACACAGTCCTGCCTAACTTAGGATTTATCTACACTACTGTGATAAGTCAACCAAAGTTATGCTATTTTGCAGTACATGAATGAGGTAACACGTACCACAGTGTCTATGCCACACTGTCAATAGGAGATGCTTACCTACCAACTTACTCTTCTCAGGGACCTGGCATAGTCGAGTTGATGAGAGAGTGGATTAAAAAAATATTTAAGATTTTTTTATTTAAATTGGATTTTTTAAATAAATACTTTAGATAGGGTTTCTCAAAAATAGTTTTAATTTAGATATGAGCTACAATGCATCTCATCATAGAATAGGGATCAAATTCTATAGTATGAGACTATAGTCATGTGACATTTAAGAAGCATTTTGTAAGTAAGGTTCCATTGTTCATGGATTAGGGACCCACTCTTATGGGGTTCCAGAGACTGCTGTACAGATTATTTAGGTTAATCTTTCCATTTACCCAATGGGACTCAGTCTAGAAGTTTCCATTAGATGCTTAGTTTTGTAGTTGTCAAATTGTGGGTTTGTCTCCACAGATAACGTGCTTGTTAACAGCAAAAAGTTTTAATAGAGAGGTGAGAAATAAACAGACTTAAACCCTATTGTCCCTCTATATTTGTGTACAGAGTTAGTCCTTTAATTCTCCCTAAAAATGCAAAGTTTCAAAAACTTCACTGATATCGGGGGGGCAGAACTGATCTGGACATAAATGTGAGAAGGGCAGGACAGGCCATAGAAAGAAAAGTGAAATTGGTATGGTAGATCTCAAATCAATGAAGGCTACACTTAGAAAGACCTCAGACTTTTGGAATATGCTGTTTAAACAATTTCACCAGAAGGGAAAACCCATAATAGCAGCAGGCTGTAAAAGTTCCTCTGTGGGTAAAACACACTGTTTGCATCTTGCATGCAGGCCTAAAAAAGAAATGCAAGGCCTAGTTACCCCAATAAAACATGACAAGTATTCCTTCTCAGAAGGGAAGCTGTGGTTAAGATGATGAAAGAAACATGTCTGAACAATCAAGATCTTCAGGTTGGTAAACTGATTTCATACTTCTTTTCTTAAGGACTACCTGTCTTCCCTCTGGACTATTCTTGAATGCCCACATTTGTGCAAAAAATAAAGTTAGTACTATAGAGTAACATCTGGATGCAGTTATGATAAAAAATTGCTGCAATAAGCAGATATTTTTACAATTTCACCTTTAAAGTTGCATTTGCTGACAATACTATGAGCAGTACAGTAATAATAAATAACTGCATTGACTTTTAAGAATCCATCCTCAAGATACAGGATATCTTCAAGTTCACCATCATTTTCCATAATTTCAGAGTTATCTGCCACTGGTAGGATTTCAGTCACATGTATGTCACACCACAGTATACCAGTAGCAACAAAAACAACCCCAAAATCCAGAAACAACCATAGATAAGTTTGGGATACGAACCAGCAGGTGACAGGAGATAATTGATAAAAACATTGGCCAGTTTGTTTATGCAGCAAACTCCTTTCTGCATGATTGAAAACGTACACTTCGTTAACATGGTCGGTCATTAAGACCAGGACATAGTCCACCCAACAAAGCAGATGTTGCAGGAAAATTGCAAAATGCCTAGTACAAAGCTTGGTCCTAGACCATGCTACAAAATGTATTCAAGATAAGAAATTTAGGAGAGTGAAAAGTGTCAAGCTAATAATATGCGGACTTTGTCTATACTGGCATGGTTGTCACTTAAAAACTGCCTTTTGACGACAAAACAATGAGAGCATACATACTAAAATGCAACTTCTGTGGGAAACACACCCAGTTTTGGCAACAAAAAAAATTCCTTCCCTGCAAGAGACTTGGGTCTTTCCCTTCCATTTATTGTCCACAAAGAGCCAGCGTGGACTCAGTTTTGTTGAGAAAACTGTCTTCCATCAATATCCCACAATGCCTGCCCTGATGGTTATGCTCAGGTTTTGGATCTCTGTTGCCCTGCAGACATGCACCCCTCCTCTTTCAAAGCTCTGTGAAATATCTGGCAGCTGAGTGAGCTGCTCCATTCAGGGAACAAACAAAAAGAGTAAATCGTCGGGATGACCCCATTCTGCCCTGCTAGAAACACAATAGTAGGCACACTGCTGCAGCAGGGGGAGGGCTGAAGAGACTGCTATGGTGCTTTGACATTCCTCAGGGCAGACAGCTCACAGAGCTACTCATGATGCTGCTCCCAACAGATAAGAATGCTGCAGGAGAACTCAGAGAATCCCCAGAAGTGCAGGGATCAGCACTACCTTTCCACAACAGGGCACTGGGGGATGCTTACCCACACAGCAAAACTATCTGTTGACAAAGTGGCCATGAAATGTTGACAATAGAAGGCAGAAAAAACAGTTTGACTATTTTTCACTTGCACATCAACCGCGCTTTTGTTGCCAAACCTTCACAGTGGTCATAAGCCAAGGTTGCAGTGCTCATTTGATGCACCTCCTACCCAAAGACTTCAGTGTTCCAGAAAAAAAAGTAATATTGTTAAAATTGCTAAATACTTCTGTAACTACTGCTTTGCAGCAGCTGCTCTGGGAAAAATGGAACCAAGCTAACTCTCCCACAAGATGTGCAATGGAACTCAGTGGAGAAATGTTTTGAGCAATATATGAAGAACTGGCCTAATTTGATGACAGTTTGTGAACAAAATTGTGAAAAATAGATGGCACTATCACAGCCAAAGTTCTCAACATTGGGCTTAAGAGAAATGTTGAATACATACTGAGTGCCCTGGTTACTTCTGTAGCCTTGAACAAAATGCAGGGAAAGGGCTGTTTTACTGCTGATGCTATTGAAATCTGGAAGGAACTGAGTGAGTTCTGAAAGAGAACTATGCAATGACAGAGTTAAATTATAAGCATTTAAAAAAACCAAATGGAACAGGTACTATCTCCAGCTCATTTTCTTACTGAGTATTGAGAATATTTGTAACAGGATCAAACCGGATCAAACCTTAACTGCTGAAGAGGGGTTTGCTGGATGCCCATGCTATAGCCATCATCCCTTCATAATGCCAACTATTATAAATTCAGAGCTAAGGTTGAACCATTCAAGAAATACATGTTTGCTGATGATGTTTTAAAGAAAGTCAAACCAGTGAACTGGAAGTCACTCAAGCACTTGAATTTAGAGACTGTTGAGGTGATAATTTCAGTTAGCAGCAGTAGTTTCTGCTGGTGTAGAAAGAATATTTTCTTCCTTTGGACTAATTCATTTCAAATTGAAAAGTTGTTTGGGACCTGAAAAAACAGGAAAGCTTGTTTTGCTTTTCTAGGTTATGAACAAATGGGAAAAAGAAGACGACTGTTAGTCACAGAAGCCAATATTTTAAGTTTCTCATGTTGACCTGGATGACAGTCGATTTAATTTTTGTGGGTTTTTAAATTTCATTTAGCTATTTTAGTTAAAATTAACAATCCTCCCCCTGATTTTTTTTAAACTTGACTGTTTAAATTAAAAAATGTATGCTTTGTCATGAGTATCACTGCAACTGGATCTCTTGTGCATAATTAATTAGGAGCTTTGTCCTTGAAGTGGTGTTCCCTTTGCTTCCATCCCGGAGCTCCACTCAGTCAGTCATCTCTGGGTCCAAAATGACCCACATGCATTGCCCAAGCAAATATAACTTGAGGACCACTTTCCTGGACTTGTGGGTCCTGCCACAGGACTTGCACACAAAGCACTTACTCAGGACATAACTCTTAGGCAGAAGAGGCTTTGTATCAATTTGAGGAGGATCAGTCCATTGCAGGATGGATAGGTTTGAACCAAAAGTGTATTCTCCCATGAAGTGGGATGGCTAAGCCCCTTGCCTTGCTGTACACAATCATTAACGTCTTTAAGACTGTCTTTTAGAACAGAAGCAGGGAACCTACGGCCCCTGGCCTGCCTGGATCTGGACCCAAGTGGGGGGGGGGGAGGGGGAGCCCCTAGACATTAGGGAGTCTGTGTTGGTACTCCAGCCCCCCCCCCAGCTCTCCCACTGTGAGGCTGGAGCACTCAAAATCTACTTGCCTGGGGCTCAGCAGCCTTTGACCCAAAACAGGTTCCTCACCCCTGCTTTAGAGAAAGCGTGAAGACAGAATTTTTCACCAAATGTATTGAAAACTGGTTTAAGGCTTCTGAAGAGTGTAGCAGGTAAAGCAGTCACTGGTTTCTACCTCAATTCAATGGGCAGCAAGAGGGAACTGACAGTCACTACTGCCCCATCTTTTATACCCTCACAGAAGTACAAGGTGGCACAGAAGACATGCACAACTTTGATGACACTGCTTCTCAAAAGACTTTGATCGTATGTGTATACACCCCCACAATAAGATCTACTCTGACATGAACTCAGAAGAACCCTGTCTCCTTTGCCATGCGTGTCTAGAATTTCAGTCTCCATGTTACATCAACTCTTGCATTAATAAATGGCTTTGTGCTGTTTGCTGATGAGGCTGATTTTACTCTTGCTTGGGATATGGCTTTATTGCTTTCTATCAAAAGTTTGATGTTAGAACGAAGAGAAACTCTCACCTCCCATGAGGAAGAGCAGTCCTGCCACATACTGCATGAGCTCATGCTGTTTACAGCAGCCCAGCATACCAATGATCCAGCCAAACAGGATGATGGAAACTGCCATGCCAATGAAACCAGCTGTCATCCTCCGCAGATCTGAGGAGAAAGTGGAGCAAGAGGGGAAGGAAATAAAGGAGACACCAGGACAGGATTTTGGAGAGGAGAGGTATGTAGAGAGAATACACTGACACAATCCATTAAGATTATCAGGTCTGCTGTCCCTTAATATCACTAATGCACTTCCCCCACTGCAATCTCTTAAAAAGGAAGTTGTTTGCATTACAGCAGTTTCTACAATCTAGGGACTCTGAGACAGTCCCCTTTGTGCTGGAACCGTACCCACTAGCCTGAAGCGTAAGACAAATTGAACCGAGGGTGATGAGTTAAAGGGATATAATGTACCAGCACAGCAAATACTCTCATGGTTTGCAGACATGTTAAAACTAGAACTTTTTTGTTGGTTTTGGACACTGAGGTTGTTTGTTGGTGGTTTTGGGATAGGATTAGAGACAAAGGAAAGGACAGGGAAAGGAAAGGGGGGAAAATGTGGAGGCAGGTGTAGTGAGGCTGAGGTGAAGAGAAAGAATGGGAGGAAGAGGATTGGGGCAAACAAGTAATCAATACAGGGGAGATAATGTCCTTAGTAAAATTTGTTAAAAAAAAAAAAATCCAGACACTGATGTCTTCAACATCTGGAGGTCCCTGCTTCCTTCTGCTACTGTCAATTTAGTTTCTGGCTGGCTTCTCCCAGCAGTTTGTTTTCCCTTGAGTTCAGACTGTGGCAGGGAAATAGATGAGGTGTACCCTGTGTATTTCTGCATTTAGGGGGCACTGGGTTCACTGGATAACGCTAGCTGGGTCTCAGCTCCCCTCTTCATCACTATAGTACATGCACTTGCCTCTAATCCTGCTGGAGCAGAGGCCAATCTTTTGAAACATGATGAGTTTGAGTGCTCAACTTGCATTACTTTTTAAAAAGTTTTATTTTCACAGGACTGATGCTCAGCAATTGCTGCAAGCCAGGCCACTTTAATGCATCTCAACTTGGGCACACTAAAAGCCACAAATTGCTTTTAAAAATTTAGACCAGAATATAGGAATCTGATGTTCTGAAACCTGTGCCTGCAGAAATATCATGCTCTATGGCATTTCTAGGGCATCTCTCCAACCATAGTTCTCTGTAACAACACACGTGTAGCATCTCTATGAAAATGCAGACATGCAAGCCTATCGCACGATCTCACTCACGTTGCATTAATTGCAAAGTCACCTAAATTTGTGCTGGTAAGTTATATAGGGTAGAAACCATCCAGGGAAGCCGGGTTGCCTAGTAACTCTCATCCTCAGAAAAGGAACACCAGAAGGCAATGGGAACATGGATAGGACACATAGGTGAGGAAGGAGATAGGGTGGAGTACTTCCAGGTGGGTTGCAGGGGACCAGACAGCTGGGAGGCGTTTGGGTAGGAAAACTGGTAACAGGAAGATGCAGGGGATGGGCTAGTGGAAAAGTCAGAATTAGTGTGCTTTCTGGGAAGAGGGATCATGAGCGTTAGGGAGCTGGAAAGAGGCCTCATGCCATCTGTTGTTACTCTATAGTACTATCTGGATGCAGTTTGACCAATGCCTACCAGTTCAGAGTTTATCCAGTAGTCTGCAGTGATACTTCCATCACACTCAGGCAGATCTGCAACACTATTGCCAATTTATATGGTCCCTACACTAGCCATTTCAGATATCGTCTACACTTGGGTCACTTTTTACTCACAATTTGCTTATCTCCAGTCTCCCTATCTGAAGTTCATATGGTCAGTAATCTCTGAATCAGTGCCCCATTTGGTACTGAAGTCATGTCAGCAACCTATAAATGAAAGGTTCTGAGCATGCTAGCACCCTGCTTAGTAATGATGTCTGACATTAGTAAGTCTGGATTACTTACGGAGAGCATGCCACTCGTCCTGACGGATGATGTTGGTAATATTGATGGGTAAGTTGCGTGGCAGAGAGGATGAAGTGTAATGGTACTTCACAGCTGTGCAGCGCTCAATAACTCCTGAAAGACAGAAAGATCAATGTTCAAATAAAATCCCTGTACCAAACTGGAGTTCAGGAAGCACCTTCTTCCTTTGTTGTCCTAAGAAGCAGAGTTTGCCAGGCCAGTATGCCAGACACATGATGGTCTTAGTTCAAACTTAACTCACTAGCTCCAGCCAGCAATCAAATAGGACAGCAATAACAACAAAAAGGGATTGTGAGTGAGTTTCTCCATGCATTCAAAGTGTGACCTGAGATCAAAAGGGGAGAGGATGACAGTGAAACAATCACTGAGAGTGAAAGAGTGGCATTCCCATAGGTTGGGAGTGAACAAAACCTTAATAGCATACTAGGGAACAGTCCTGCTCAGCTTTTGACAATGGTTGTTGAAATGCTCAGGGAGATTACAGAGGCTACAATGGCAGAAAATTCAGTAATAAATGGGAGATTTCAACTATCCTCATATTCAGGACTTGACAAACCACGGCAAGATCTACTCGCCAGCCCTGCACCGCACACGCACCAGACCAGCAAACGGGGCAAACGGAGCGACCGGCTGAAATCTACTCGCCATGGGCAAGTAGAAACAGTGGTTTGTCGAGCCCTGCTCATAGTGATATGGTATATGCCACCTCTAGAATAGGGATTTGAAAGGAGATAGGAACAGGAAAGGTTAGGAATAGGAAAAAAAAACAGATGATGGGGGGGGGGGGGGGGGGGGGGAGAGGATGGATATTAGAGAGATCTATAAAAATCACAAATGCTGTGAAGAAAGTGAACATAGAAGTGTATTTACCCCTTCACAGAACACAAAAAACAAGAGTCATCCAATGAAATTACTAGGTAACAGATTTAACAAAAGGTATTTCTTCACACTACACAGACTACCTGTGGAGTTTGTTGCCATGGTGTATTGTGAAGGCCAGGGAAAAAAAACCCCATGCTCTGGGTATCCTGAAACCTCCCACTGCTGGGACTGAATAACAGGACATGGATCATCTGTTTTGTTCACTGCTTCTGAAGGATCTTGCTATGACCATGTCATACACAGGATAATGGGCTAGAAGTACCATTGGTCTGACCATTTATGGCTGTTCTTAGATTTCCTTCTGTAGTGAGATTAATTGGGACAGTAACCTCTAAGCACAAACCTGGCTCCACTGCGGAGAAGGATTGGCTTCTCAAGAAAAAAGGTAAGTACAAAGAGGCCCTCATAAATCCAGGATTATTTAGAAATTGAGAAGGGGATGGGAGAGAGGTGATCTCACTTTCCCATGTGGTAACAGATTATTGATGTAGACTGAATTTTAGATTAAAGAGCATAGATTTTTTAAAACCGTATTAAAGAAGGTAATGCCAGGATGTCCCTCCCTCTCAAGTCCTTCTACAGCACCTATTAACAAGGCTAGAGAAACAAGATTATAATACCTCCATTTGCATGTTGTTAGTAAAGACTTAATTTAGAGAGTTAATATGGAGGGATTTTACTGTATGGATGCCTCTTATCCACTCCTAGAACTCAATCCAACTCTCATTGACTTCAATGGGATCAGGTCACATTCACAAAGAGATTTGCATAGCTCTGAATTAAGCACTTAGCCCACATCCTCCAAATCATGGTATTTAATTCCAATAATTGTCAATCACTGATTACATATCTAGCTATTAATATTTACCATACTAAACACTTTACTGGATAGGGTTGGATTTTAGTGTGTTCACTTTATAGGTATAGATTCTAGGGATGTCAGCGTGTAGATGACTACACAATTAGCCTGAGCTTATCGGTTAATCCTGGCAACTACACTACCTCCCCCCGTTTGCTGTCTCTGTATCAGAGGCAGTAAGGCAGGAGCTGGTGCCCATGGGAAGCTGGCTTTTAAACCAGCTCCCCACAAGCACTGGATCCACCTGCTACTCACACTCACTCCCCAGCTCCCTGCATCTATCAGCTCCTGCCTGGCATCACCCTCCACGCTGCCACCTCTGATAGGCAGCAGTGTGGAGGGTGAGGACGACAGGCGGAAGCGGATATGTTCAGGGAGCCAGCTACATGCGGGGAGCCAGCTCTCCACGTCTGCCAGCTCCACCTGCCCCCCCCCCTCCGCTTGCTGCCTCCTACAGAGATAGCAGAGGTGGAAGCAGGTAGGAGCCTGTGCTCTGAGTGTGTGTGTGTGTGTGGGGGGGGGGGGGGGGGAGAATGGCTCTGGAGCTGGTGCTTGGGGAAGCTGACTTTTAAGCTGAACACCCCCCCCCCCACCCACACCCTGCCTCTTAGGCAGCAGGGCGGGGGGGGGGGGGGGAGGGAAGCAAGGCTGCCATGAAACAACCTCTGTCTGCAGTATATCTGAGTTTGCTGCAGACAGAGGCTGCTCTGCAGCAGCAGCCCCTATCCATGGGGGGTCCAAGCTCACCACAGACAGAGGCTACTCCAGCATCCTATGGACAGGGGCTACTGCTATGGATCAGTCTCTGTCCATGCAGAGCTCAGGCCACCCCCCCCCCCGACAGGGGCAGCTATTACCCCACGCAGCTGCCTCTGTATCAGAGGCAGCAGTGTGGGATAGCAAGGCAGGAGCTGGTCCATGCGGGGAGCTGCTTTTTAAACCTACCACCCCACGCTGCTGCCTCGGATACAGGCAGGACTATCAAATAGTCATGGAACCTCTAAAATTTTATGCGGTTACACAACTATTCAATTACATGCTAACATACATAATAGATTCATAAAAGCCTCACATCAAAAGGTATACTAAAATTAACACTACACAAAACTAAAATCCAAATTAACTAAATCTTATAAAAATCAGTGTCACATTAGAAACAGATACAGCAATATAGGCCCAAAAACAAACAATGATTTATCTCTTCTATTCAGTTAGGAAGGGTTTCTCAAAAGGTAAAATCTATATTAGATAACATTATTATTTACAGTGCTATATAACATATATGTGAAAGGTAATTTTACATTTTAATCTCATTCTTAAATTGTATTTGTATATGCTAATTTGCTCTAAAGATCACTTATGTCCAATGGGATCTGAACTAAGGATATGTTGGCTAAAACTACATTGATTAAATCTAAAACAAAGACACACCAGCTCTTTATTTAAACCTGATGGCTTAAATGTTTACAGAATACAAATCCAATATACATCTGGTTTCAAAGTGTTCAGTCCATTACTTTTTCTAAATTTTAAGCCTTGACTCTAGTCCTATAAAATGTAGGGTAGAATCTGAAGATATTATTTCAAGAAGTGTTTCCCAAATGGTGAATTTGAAGTTTGTAAATATGTAAGGCCAGAAGGGATCATTATAATAATCTAGTCTGACCACCTAATGTAGAATACAGGACAAAAAGCCTTAACTGAGAATTTCTCCATCAAGCCCATATTTTCTGGTTAAACTATGGTGTATTATGTTTTATAAGGATGTGCAGTCTAGAATTAAAGAATGTATGGGTTAGAGAATCCACCACATACCTAGGCAAATTACTCCAAAGATTAATTGCTCTCACTATTATACAATTGTACCTTATTTCTAGTCAGGTTTTCTAGCTTCAACTTTCAATGAAAACTTCAGCTTTCAATGCCTCTTAGTTGATAGCTCTTTAAATCTAGCACAATCAGAAATCTCTTCCCCATGAAGACGGTTGTAGATGGTTAAGAGGTGACTTGATCACTCTCAAACTAGACAGATTAAGTTTGTTTAGTCTCATTATGACATGTTTCTAGATCTCAAAATTCTTGTAGCTCTTTCTGAATCCCTTCCAGTTTTACACATCCCTTCTTGAAGTAGATACACTATTCACTAATAACTATACACAGAGGAAAGCTTGATATTCCCCCACTTATACATTTTCAAAATTTGGATGTGTATTATATAGAGTTTCTTGGAGAAGACATTTTCCATACAACCATGTTCATTTGCATTAATCGTATTTTAAATTCTCTACTGCTTGTATCCTTTATCAGTCTTGATCAGGATTTATGTCCAGGGAACTTGCCTCTGGTTTGTGGGTAATCCTGTTTAACCGTTTTAAAGATTGGTGCTATGCTGGCTTTTCTAGTCCCCTGGAATCTCTTGTGTGCCAAGTTTTGTTAAAAATCCATGTTAATTGTTCACAGAGCTCCTCTTCCAATTTCTTTAGGGTGCAAGTTATCCAGTTCTCCAGATTTTAAAGTGTTTACTGTAATAGTTGCTATTTACAATTCTCCCTCCTTACTGATGGGATAGTATGTATTTCATTATCACTTAATGATATCACATCTTCTTGCTAATTTCCAAGAAGAGTGGAAATATTTATTTACTACTATTTCCTTTTCCATATCATGACTGATAACCAGATAACTATCTGCAAGCCTCTGACCCTAGAGAAATGGTGGTACTTGTACTTTCACTGTCCATTATGAGAAAATAAAAGTAAAGTTAACTAGCCCTGCCTGCTGCACATGAAAAAGAGCACGACATGGAGGAAAGAACTGCAATGTCTTCCAGAAAGCTGAAGGACAAGTGGCTGTGCTCCCCACGCTACAGGTGCTACTGCAGAGAGGAACTGCTCCAGAAATGGGTGGTAGCCATTATTGCAGAGGCTCTGAGGCAAGTGCCAGGACATCATAATTACTGAAGTTACCAACATGAGGGTCAGAATTGGGGAAGGGATGAGTCTTCCTGCCAAGTCTGTATAGGCTGAGTCAGCAAAGTTTTGAGTTGTTTGGTAAGAAGGCTTAAAGTAACACAACTAGTGGAAATTGCTTCCCTGGATTCGGTAAGAGAGCTCAGACAAAACTAACAGGGAGTAAGCTGGTGCTGCAAAAGGAAAGCATGGTCCAGTAGAAGGAAGATACTATAAAATAAGCCCCAGTCCTTTTTACGTGACCCTGTACCATTTCCAGGATTTTTTCCCCAATTATATTTAAATAACTGTCTTTTAGCTCTTTTATCCATAGGGTTCCCCTCCCACCTTATCCTTTTAATTTAACTGAAGAACTATAAGCATTTCTTGCTTGCTGACTTGCACTCATTTCCATCAGTTTCTTCATGTGTTTTGCTTTATATTGCTTCTTCCACCTTCCTTCTTAACCAGGATTTTTTTTTTTAAATCCAAGAAATCTTTCGTGATTGAATGAGTGTGTGTTTTGGGAGCATATAATGAAGGCATCTTTGAACAGTCACCCATATTATCAGTTTCCTCGTCTAATTTTTGCTCATTACAATGTTCTGCTTTTTTACCTTATTGTATATTTATGTTCTGAAATTCTCATCTATAAAGGTTGAGATGCTTGAAAGTCTCTAGATAAATCACATTAACATGTAACTTGAGTTATTATTTACATCCAAATTACCAGCCACTACTACTATTATCAGTTTGTCTTGTAAGAATAGGCAAATAATTAGAAAAGCAAGGTGAACTTAGTTTATTCAAACCTTAAGAAAGGCCCATAAAGCATTGAAACAATGGATTTCCCACATTCCAGTGCTCCTTCCTTAAATCTTTTACAGAATCTCTATTGAAGTCTTATAAGTTCATTTATTCCTCTGTCACAGAAGGTCTCTGAAATGTTTTCTATTTTACAAATCCATTATTAGTACCCAAAAGATTTCAGATTAGGCTCACAGCAAAGCAAGGAAAAAGAGAGCTTTGCAATGATAAATTGTAGCCACCTACAGATCCTAACTAGGGAAGTATTTGC